TATACATAAGTATTTAACGAGGTGATTCCTATGTTGAAACGCGAACTTAACACAGAAATTGAGATTGTGAATTCAGTGAATAACCACAGATGATTAATAAATAATGAAGAAAATGATACTGGAATGCAGGATTAGGTTTAGAATCACTCAAGGCAACACAGTCAGATATGTTACAGCAGACACCAATAAAAGGCCTTATTTCTTACGTCAGTCCCGAATTTGAGACTTTCGTGGGGACTGAATGAGTCATTTGTTCCGTTTTTAAATACCCGGAAAAGCATATGAAACAGGAAGAAAGTTGACGCCGTTTTTTACTCGCAAGTCAGACCAAAGAAGGCCTAGAAACGTCCACGTTGGTCTTATGTAGATCAGCCAGTGTTCTAGAAACTGTAACCTCGCGAAACAGCCTGGAGGACGTCATCAGTCCCGGAAATGGATCAACGTATGTAAACAAGCTCCTAACAGAGGCACTGTCTACGCTGGGAAGGTAACGGCGGTGTTAGCGCTGGAATAAAGCTTGAACTGTAAAGAACTATGGGAGGTCACTCTAATGTACGACCAGAACACTCGATATTTTATGAGCGTTTTAATACGCTGCAACTGGCAATACAAAACATACTTAAGATATATAGTGCCACACATCTGAGTATGGAGAAAGTGGAAAACAGGGGGATTACTTTAACAAATGTACAGACGCGCTCATGTGTGGATGAACATATGAATTGCACAGCGTCTTAAGTGGCGGTTTCACTTCACCGGCAATATGGAGCATACCTCCTCCAGAAACAAACCCGCATCCGCATGACTGACTGTAACACCTTTGTGATAGCAAGCCTTTCAGAATCCGGTATCCGAAACATCGTACCTTTGTGGATACTAGACTTTTGGTAATACGGGTATCGTTTTCATGCATAATACTATATTTTCAAGCATCGACTAATCGTGTCACATTTATGCCCAGACTGGAATAACGATGGACAGAGTTAATAGGCCAATCCCTGATAATATTGCAACTTATAACGGTTACGCCATATCGTGCTATTCAACAGGTATTGAGGACGTGCTTAACTTGGTTTGGTTTCTGAACACCCCCATGTATGGAAAACTATCGAAATGGAACTTTGAACTATCACGAAATAATAAGTAGCTAACTTCACATGAAACAAGGTATTTAGTCCTCTATTTAATCAGGGAAATGACATTTTAAGGATATGATCCTGTGAAAAGGAGTAATCAATGCTTATGGATTTGAACAGGAACATACAAGGCATTGCTGAATAGCACATAATCTTGAGAGTGTGTGTCAATGGGCAAGAACTTAATACGCTTCTTTCAGCAGTATTTCAATCAGTGATTTCAGATGGGTGTAAGAGGTGCAAAAATGGTATAGGCATAATGCATGCAAGGGGTGAAACTTACATGATCACGTTTGATTTTAATATGTGACAGATGAGATTGATAATACGATGTGCCGTTGAGATTGACATCCAATGATCGTGGGACAAAATACCAGCGGCTTGAGCATGCACTAGTTGCCTGGATATGTGCGCTATACAAATGTCCTGTAATAAAAACATACAGTACTGAAAGAGGAGGAACTTGTTATCAAGTTTTCATTACCACCGCTGTCTAGCGTCGTCCAGGCGTGTCAGGATTTCAGAACTGTAGCTCCTAATATGCAACTCTCTTTCTTGATGTATCAGCATAGTATACGTTTGTGGAATTCAATTAAGTGGAAAGATCTATTGCTTTTCCATTCCATTCAGGTTCTTTCTCGTTATCACTCACTGTGATATCTGAACAATTTCCAAAGCATTAATAAAAAATATTGCTTTCTGTAACAATTCTCCTTCTCTTTATTGTGTCCCCCGTCGTGATATTGCTGGAATATTACAAAAACCGGCGTAAAACTAAACTCACTCACTCAAACAATCAATCAATCTTCTCCAGATGAGCTAAGCTAGGATACTCTATTATAAGTATATGTAAATCCATATCTTGGGGAGAAGTCAGTGAAGGTATGTCTTGCATTTGGTTTGACATTTATTGCACTTTGTTACAAAGTCATTAAGAACGGTACATGCTTGGTCTGGCACAAATAGAGAGATAACAAGTAAATAATAACAACGGTGTAGTCAGTTTTTAATATGTCAAAGACGATAACTGGTAAAATATTTGGAAAAATATCATATACACGAGAATGCATGTTCCAAGGAACCATTCCTTTCACAAATCAGGGCACGTCAGGTCAAAACGTGTCCACTGTCACTGAAGATTAATTGGGAGACAAGGTCATGCTTGTCATTATCAAACAAAGAGTTCACTCAACCATCCAGGGGCGGTGGAGTAATCTAGTGGTTAAAGCGTTCGCTCGTCACGCCGAAAACCAAGGTTCGATTCCTCACATGGGTACAATGTGTGAGGCCCATTTGTGGTGTTCCCAGACATGATATTGCTGGAATAATGCGTTAAACCATTCTCATCCAGTCACTCACGCAAGCATCAACTCACTCACTCACTCACTCACTCAATCAATCAACCACTCACTCACTCACTCGCTCACTCACTTGATTACGTTTTGCCGACTCCACTTCAGAACTTGTGATCATTGCCAATGATGCGATGACGTATGAAGTGTGAGATGTCACAGAAAGATGTAGTAGATCAATAACCTCCCACCTGTGCCCTATATTGGGTTGACAATATCCAATTTAGTCGACAGCATCTTGAATAACACCTTTTCATATCGTAATTACAGTGTAAACGTTCCAAGTAAAGATATTGTTGCTCTTACATTACATACACCAGTATATGCCTCACCTTACTTCAGAACACTATCACCTGATACTGGCACTCCTCTTGCCACAAACCAAACTGTCGATATCATTTTCTGTTACAATACTATATCATTGTGTTAAGATCATATTCAGGGGATTTTAGCCATGCAATTTAATTACCATAAGAACGGTTATATGACTTCGGGATATGAATACCTTAACTGTAACTAAGGACTGTAAGAACAATTTTGCAACTTCAGTATGCAAGAAACAAGAGAGGAGTTGTCATTTAAGGGTGAAGTTATGAATAAATGTGATAATACGTGTAATTACATTTTCAAGAGTGAAATTGCAAATATCATATAGACAGAAAGAAATAGCAGGGAGTGCACTGAGTGTTCCCTGGATTTCACAGCTTTTGGGTAATGTTCAAATGCCATATACTGGTGGAGTACGTTGGCGACGCCAATATTCATTTGGAGTCGACTTTAACAAAACCGGGCGATATAACCGGAATATTGAGGAACGAGAGTCTTTGTAAAAGAATGTTATATTTGGAACGTTTATTTATCACATTCTTGACCCTGCTTTCATTTCCTGATTATGAACCTTGATCTGTTACCGCAAGCCTGACAAGTGCGCTTGTCTGTTTCACCAAAGTAGCAACCGTCTTCGAAGATGGGCTTACCTTTGGTAACATACAGTTATATACATAACTGAAATACTGAACGCAATTTTATACCACACACACTTCGTCATCAAATATTGTTCTGTTCGTCGGCTCTCACGTCTAAAGCGGCGCAATTCGCTCGCCAGATTTGCGTCTCTTCGTCGGGTGAGATTTCGACGGATAATTTCGAGACTGGTTAATCTCTGGTGCTGACGATATATATTTATGACCAAGAAACCATTACCCGTGAAATATTATATAGGACTCACACCTTCTTTGATGGGCATTTTCAGAAGTTGAGGTGATAAAGAATGAGCATCCACACCTGTATATTCGTGTATAGAAAGGTTAAAGTGGCCACGGTATTGCATGTTAACGTGTGCATCTTGGTAGTGGTTTAATAGTTCCACCTACACATCGGCAATATTTCAGCCATTTCAGTCCTTTGCACGACTTGCTGAGCTGTCCAAACGAAACTTGGACATATCAATGAAAAGTGTATAGTCTTGCTTTCAGGTGCTGTCTACAGAATGGCGTATCTTTGGACGTCTGAGTCCAATGTTGTGCTTCGCCTGTTGCATACCGCCCTACCTCTAAGTGGCTTCAACACCGGAATTGTCAGAACTGTTAATGTGGCAGTTTGGTATCGAGTCCATAGATGCAACAACCGAATATGGTTGTTTAGCTGACATGACGTCACCTGTGGTCGAACTGCCTGTGGAAAGTCATGAATGCTTTTGTCCTGATGTAGATGCGCATCAGTGTGCTATACTATGACGTTTCGATGAACTCTGTAATATCTGGTACTACTCCATTACAGCATATCTACAGGGCGTCGACGTTGATTTTATGGAAGCTATGCATTTCGTTACTTACAACTGTGTTGCTATGGGCACCTGATAGTTTAACAGTCATGGTGTGGTGTTCACATTCAAAACCCATTTGTGTAAACAGCATGCTCAATGCATTCACGCAAACATCCAAGTTGTGGGCCGTGAATAAACATGCACGTGCAAACTGTGAACCACAACGTCGAGGAATTGATTCATAAATATTTGTTTCAATATACATTATATGATTTCAAAATTACAAAACTGATGAAACCCCGTGTACTCTTTTCAGAAATAATATCTTTTTTTGTCAGAGAAAAAATACATGCGACAAAACCTTAGTTATAAAAAATCGAAAATCTTTGCTGAACGTCATCCATCGTGCGTTACCGAATATACCGAGAGAGAGAGAGAGAGAGAGAGAGAGAGAGAGTGAGAGAGAGAGAGAGAGAGATTATGACATGTTAAATCTTTGCTGAACGTCATCCATCGTGCGTTACCGAATATACAGAGAGAGAGAGAGAGAGAGAGAGAGAGAGAGAGAGAGAGAGAGAGAGAGAGAGAGAGAGAGAGAGAGAGAGATTATGACATGTTAAATCTCTAGTCGGTCGAATTTATTGTATTTTTATTTTCTTATATGCATGTTTGCACTAAGTAACCTGGTCTTCGCGATGTCATTAATCAAGTCATGCCACAATTTGAAAAATAAAAACCCATAGAAAGTTCATCAAGCCATGCTTTATTCTGTGAATTCAAATCATTGTCGGACAACTTTGAGTCTTAGAACCAGACCGGAACATATTCTAATTATGCCTCAAAGACTTCCATGTTTCATCCGTAGGAAATACCGACACTATGAGGAGTACTTGAATTTAAAATCAATCCAGGTGTATCAAGATATATTTTTTCTGAAATAAACAGGCGTAATGTTCTAAAGCCGGAAGGTGCATTAATGAATTGGTTAAATACCATCAAATAATCTATTAAAGAATGAGTAGCTGTGCATGATATTTAGAATAATTTAAAATGCTTCTAATACATCATGGCAATGTGCAAATCCTTGCTACTAATGATGCAAATCTTCACAAAAGCCGTACTGGTTGCGAATAGTAGCATACAAAAGGAGGCAACACGTTTAAAACTCTGAACTTTGGATGAAACTGAAGGACAGAAGCCTTTGTTAAGAACATACCATTTACTTTAATCAACTGTAACAACTTCGTAACATCTCTTAAATATACTTCACTTGAAGTACTTGAAAGTACAGCGCAGTCCAAATTACGTCTCTGTGCTGAAAATAGTATAGTTAGGGAAGGCCAACGAAGGCTTCTTGCTTGAGATTCGAAATTATGATAATAGGGAGAAGAGGACCAGTTGTATCTGAAAGCAAATCCACCTTTTCCATAATTACAAGAAATCTCGGCTGACGGCAGAGTCCATTGAACTATTCTGATAATAACGAAAGAATGTTGAACGATTTTCCAACAGTGATGATACCTGTTAGGAATGACATCATCAACGGTCATAAACGCAGGTGAAATCGTTAATAAAACATGTATTGTTATATTCGTGGTTTGTATATGAGAAAAACCTACCTCAACACAGAAACGTAATGTATCTCAGTACTTCATGTTTATGCCAGTGACCCCTCACTTATTCTATAAAGTACATATTGTTCATCCTTTGTTTATCATGGCATGCATTGATCCACCTAGTTACAGCTTCCTTTCACATATTCGAATACCAACCCTTGATTGAATTCTTGATGAGAGGAATGTCAATATAACTTTTCTATACCTGTAACATATTTTATCAAGAAATACTTTATTCAGGAAGCCAAAGTCCATAGATACCCAAAGGCTAACAATAAACAACTACGTTCATGTAGCAACGACGAATGGCGTGAGAACAGACTTCTTCTACTTGTAACCGTTAACGGTGTCGTGTCTACAACAATGGTGTGCCGTGTCGCCGCGTCGTCGCAGTGTGGAGACATGGCTGTCGTATAAAGATGCAGTGTTCTCAAGCAGATACGTGGGTGCATAGAGTACCTTACAATAACATAATGACTTCAAGGTTGTTTCCTTCAAACCCATTCCAGTAGGTTCCAACCATTCGTGGTCTGCCCCTGAAGCATAAACAGATCATGATTAACACAGTTCTAATAATCTGCCTACTTGACACCATATACCTTCTACATTGTATAAATGTTATCATACCAGGCAGTGTTTAGTCATCGTTGGATTTTATGCTGTTTTGAAATGCATTCCTGTTACATCCCGACGTGTGAGCATGATAGAGGAAAGGCCCAAGTGATGCAGTCACTATGGTTAAACCCATTACATGCACAAATCTGGAAACATCGTGGCGGTCCGAGATTCGAACCCACGATCGTAGGATTTTGACAAACCTCTATACAGTGCTGTGGTGATCTACCTTCAGATCTATAGTCTGTTTATGTATTGCATTGTATTATTGGTGAGAATATTTTAAATTTACAAACTTTTTTTATATCTAAATCTGTGATCTTCTAGTGTTTTCATTGTCCTTCGGTGACAGGTATTTATAATTCAATTCCGTATTTAGCATGTATTTGGAACTTGTTTTTGTCACGATATGGCTGACATATTGCCAATGTGACTTTATTAACTCACTCACTGTACAGAGTTACATCTTCTAACGAACAGGCTGTTTATAACACATATCAATACACATATAACAGCACGAACATGTACATTGACAAGCCAGGTAATAAACAGGTAGAATCAGATTCGAACCCATATTTTAGTATTCTGGCACACTATTGTACAGAGAACTGAAACTTACGGTGCCTAATAATACAACTCGCCCTTCCATGACGTCACTTTCATTTCCCACACATATCATATTCTTTGACACATATGACCTACACTGACAGCATGGTCGATTACACAAGCAAGATGGTCGATTAGTTACCTTAACCTCGGGATCCATGGAAGCCAAAGTGAGGCTTTCGTTTCTCCTTGGCAAACAACCCTGAAATACAATGCCGTAAATATACTAATAACAATATACCTGTGCATGTTTATATGAAAAGGAATGATTTTCATTTTGGAAAAGTACATACATGTAATCACCATCATGCATTTGGTTTTATACGAAAAATGAGGTTTCATTGATATTTAAAGGAAGTAAGCATTTTGGTTCTTTTTCTAATAAACTTCAATGATGATAACGGTAAAACCAACATGACTTATCAATATCCGTCACTGCATGTTACAATATACTACTGACACAGAAACTTTACTTTCGGGCTATCAACCTCGAATCAACCCATTCGAATCAGTCTAAAGAAAAACGGAATCAAAGTCAAATTTTATAATGTGCTATGGTGTGTTATTATGTTTCGTCAGTTTACGAACATATTGTGTAAGCGAGTGAGTGGAGCTTTATGTCGCCTTTAAAAGAATGCAAGGAATATGTTCACAGGATATTTTTTATGCATACCTTCCACCTTGACAAATAGAACTGTATTACAACTAGTAATATAAGTTATTCTTAATGAAACAAAGTTACATTCAGCGTTGGGAGTTAACCCTTGCTTTAACTCCAAATGCTCTTGATGTAAAATTGCTTGAATTGACGATAATATTGTGTCTACAGGGTTATCAATATGAAACAATACTTTTCGGACAGTCAAGATCCATCGGTTGTTACTTTTGTTTAATGTGTGAATGTTGAATCATTTCTCGATTCTCGGCCAAATGGTTGTTATAAGCACATTTCATATGAGGCGTTATAGCTCCTGGTCCGTTTCCTAGCTAACTGATTGTAGTACAAAAGTGTATCTTGCCATATTTTGCAATGTAAACTCATTTTCGCTATGATCCTAATACCACAAATGACGGACGAAGGCCTCCGATGATTGGCTGATATGTAGATATTGTCCAGTTGTATCAAATGTGTAAAAGTGTTTGGAACACAGACCACAATACCACAGTTTCAACGAGAATTAGTTATCATGTACTTTCACGGACTTCACAAAAGTTGCAACTGCGATATTTATCCGATTTCGTTCAAATTTGATTCCACATATGTTTCAGATGTCATTACAAGATTAGGTTTGAGCACTTAATGGTTACAATTTATACATTTATTTGGTACAAGCATTCACTGGCGGTGCCCATCATGTAAATAATGGATATGTTATCGGGGATGGCTTTTATGTGCAGGTTCTAACAGAATACTGGTTTCTGATGTTATTCTATTGTTTTTTAATCCAAACAGAAAAAACACATGCATTTGTACAGATTTTCAAGGTTATGAGCTGATAAAGCAAAAAAGTTGATCTGAGCTTTGTGTCAACTTGTGAGCTTTCTCTGTCAACATAATGCCTCCTCCTGCATCCATATATTTATCACCCCATAACCTTAAAATCATTCACGTTAATTTTTAAGTAGTACACATGACGTCACAAAGAAATAGCAACCGATCAGATTGTGTGTGGCATTATTTTACTCTTGGATAAGACTTATTTCAGGAATTAATGAAAGTACAAAATAATAGTTTTTCGTTACTAGAACCTCGGCATATAGCTGGAATATTGCTGAGTACGGTGTAACACTAAATTCACTCACTCACTCAATATACTCATCCAGGAACGACCATGGTAATACGCAGATTGACACAGATCAGATGTTGACATGGGACCTTAAAACAATTCCCTGTATACTATATATCTATGGGATAAGAATGACAGGAATGCGAATTCACCAATTTTTCTTGTAGTTGCAAAAGACTCGCACTTTTTTGTTTGGCACATCCTGTAGTAATGAAAATTGAAAACAGAATAGTACGTATGTACATACATACATACATACATACATGCATACATACATACATACATACATACATACATACATACATACATACATACTCAAATTCTTTCATTAAACTGGTAACCTTTACATTTTGTACGTAACGCATTGAAAATGTTCCAAGCCCTGAAATCCACATCCACAAATTATTATCAAAAGGCAATAGGCTCCTAAGTAAATTAAAGATGATCGATTTTAGTATAATAAATGCCTTGTTTAAGGCCCAGTTTGTTTTAGATGGGAAATTCATCATCATACATAATCTACTGAAATGGAATGATGGGCTGTAAATGATGTAATAACCTACAACGTTGAATAAAGCAATATGGGTATAAAACTCAAACCTGGAAGTCATATTAAGTTGAATACTGCAACAACGCTATTGGTTTCATTTTCCTACCTTTTTTGTGCTTTTACATGAACTGACGATTCAATCCTGGCACCCACATAGTTATGTAGGTAGCCAAATATGTTCGCTCTTTATGGCAGGATTGTCCTTGTAATTGAGCAGTTTATAACATGAACGTCGCTATAACAATATCACGTATGTTCTGGGATGCAAATTGCGAGCAAATACAAACCTCCAACGTCAGAGATTAATCAGTCATCGATTATCACACCCTCGTACAACTGAAGACTGTATTCAAAGAGTGTGTGCAAATGTATTTAGTCTATACAACCACTAACACGTCTATTAGGTACCTGATATTATTTCTGCCGGTACATTAATAGTAGGCACTCCCAACATTCCCTAATCTAATAATACCACTGACTTGTGGTGTACGACTGTAGTGACATCAACACTGAAGGCTTAACAAATCAGTTCAAATTAGTGCATTTCAACATTCTTGCATTGACTCGTGTTTGAAAGCAAAATGATGCAATATGTAGATAATCAATTATGTAATGCAATAATCTATTTGGATTGGGTAATATAAAAATACAGAATGAAATCGTATCATACACAGATCGGCATTTCTCTCCTGAAAAATTATGCATCTCATTAAACTTCGCAAGACCTCGTTACTTTGATAAAATAAGTGTTACCTCGTTCTTTGATTCTGAAAAGGGATGAGTACGAGATTTTAATGCGTTGATATTTATCATGATGTGTCGCAACAAGTGTATTTATGTAAAATGTGCAAGATAAACCCCCATATCCCGTTAATTTGGAGTTACTCATGTACAAGATGAGTTTTGACAAAATAGTACAAAATAGAGCTGTGCATAAATGCCACTGTAGCTTGGGGATATCAACTTAGGAATATATGCCTCGAGAGTTATGAAAATCCGGTCCTAGCATTCATGACAATGTGCATACAAATTGTACACTGGGCAATAAACGATTATCATACGTTTGAAAGGTGTATGATTATAAACAGAGTTTGATTCATATGGGAAACACACGCAAAATCCAGCCATTGCATACCTTTTCTATTCCGTTTATGTGTTTTCATAATGATGTATAATGGCTTTTGGTCCCGTGTTGGGCACACTGCCTGTATCGCACATGGGCAATGTGCTGCGCCATCTTACCTTGTTTCATAAAGAGCACAAGGGTTCCGTAGAACAATCTTTAATAGGTTCATTTTTTATATCGACCAATCAGAGGACACGTACATTTAATTTGTATAGTTTTAAAAATACACCCATAAAAAAAGACTGAAAGAAACCTGTTAACTGTTGGTTATGATCACTGACAGAAAACTTGTAAACAGGTACCAGGTGGTTTGTTGCTGAGAAGTATTCGGATTATGAAAGGTGCAATCAACATGCCCCAAATTGAAGCAATAACAGTGAAGAATTTACAAACAGCAAAGGATAGTTACTCTATATGCCCGAGTTTGTTTTATAAGAATCATTTACAACAAAGGAGATATGTACAATATTAAGTATTAATGTAGAAAAATAGTATTTTTACATTAAGGGTTGCGGGCGTACTCTTAATGGAACGATTTTTACATAAAGAGTGAACGCGTAACCATTAATGTAAAAGAAATTACAGTAAGAGTATATTTTACATTAAGGGTTGTAACAAAGCCTCATCAAAGACACGACCAAAAACAAAAACTATAATTGGCAAATTACATGACATTAAACGAATCTAGCAAACCTTAAAACAAAGAAATAAAATCGATCGTCTTTTTTCGAGTAGCATATTCTAATCGACGTTGTTTTCATGCTTACAATTTCCTTTAATCTTCTGTCAACATCGCGATCGAAGGCCAATTTCTAAACCGTGACATTTTTAAATTGTTATATTTTTTTTATCAGAGGCACAAACTTGTCTCCGTTCAGAAACTTAAGACGATCTGGAGTCGTTGCCATGGCAGGGCATTAATACGTTTAGGTTTTGAGTTATCTCTCGGTAGAATCATCTAACAACCTTATATTAAACGTTATCCCCAGGAAAATCGCGTTTAATGCTGTACTGAGTAAATTTTGCTGTTTGTGAGGGAATTATAGCTCCGGTTTGTTAAATATGCGCAAATTAAGTAATAAAATTTGCCTTGAAATCGTGTCAACATGTGCAAATGTACATAAAACAAGTTTGCTGATCCTTACAATTGATCGCTTGAATATTTGATTGGACGTTGATTCAACCTGTGGTGATTTTAGTTCTACAGTCAATACGATTTCGATTTGCAACATCCAGCCAAACACGTTATATGCATTATTTCGCTTTGGTGCTGCATTCACAACTAAGGCGAGATCATGTGATCACTAATTCGTAATGTCAAGGTCCGCATGTTTCGAGTTAACAGTGTGCCCGTTATTATACTGCAGAGAATTATTTAATCCTGTTAAATGCATGATGGACAATTGTGTTTTGTTGGGGTTTTTCTGGTTTGATTGTGTTTTATATTTTAGTCAGGAATCAAGCATCATCCCCGAGGGCTGTTAAAATGTCCTCAGTTTGAGTGAATATTGTTTTACGTTTGTATGAATATTCCAGCGATTTCGCTGCGGGGGACATCATCCACTAAATCCTTTTTCAAAATCAAACTTGGGCCAGTGAATCCATGGCCGGTGGACAAATATTCTTGGTCACTCTCTCAACATTACCACGCCGTTGGGGTTCCCTTTACAGTCCATTGCGAGTCTCCAAGCTTGACCAACACATTCTACTGTTGGTTGAGATCTGATCTTGATTAACTTTTAGACTTAGATTTTCTCTTTAGTATCGAACCATTCGACGAAACAAAATCGATCCTTTGAAATAATAAGTTGCTTCTTCTGATCTACTCATAAAGCGGGGGGCGGTGGGGTAGCCTAGTGGTTAAAGCGTTGGCTCATCACGCCGAAGACCCGGGTTCGAATCCCCACATGGGTACAATGTGTGAGGCCCATTTCTGGGTGTCCCCGCCGTGATATTGCTGGCATATTGCTAAAAACATAGCGGCGTAAAACCAAACTCAGCGTTCAGCGTTAACGAACACGCATACCTAGTCTCCATTTGCAGGATTAAGATTTGTTCGATGTTTGGTCATTATACCGAGTTAACGGGAACTGTAACGGGTCTTGTGGTATTAATCAAACCCTAACTAACACCGTTATCAAGCTTATATAACGGTGTTAGTACCTACACCGAAACGTCGCACCCATTGCAATAAAGAAGTTGACTATCCATAGAACTGGTTTTCCTTCATCTATACAACTTCTAAAATGCCTCTCAAAGAAGGAATGGCTAAAGAAAATCATGTCAAAGAACATTTGTCTTTTTCTTTTCAAATAAAGTGTCCATGTTACCACTTGACCTGCAAAATGTTCACCTGGACTGGCTTAGCCATTTATGAATATCTCACGTTTGCAGTTAAGTGAAAAATAAAACTGAAAAACAAACCAGCATCCTCCTTAAAATCTCTTTCATTATGTAGCAATCACAGCACACGGCGAATGGTGCTTAAGATACACTACAACACCGTCAAGTGAGCTACCATAACATATCGAAAGCCTTGAAGATAGTTGATGACTTGTCAATCTTGTCTTCCTTTTTGAGGTACATAAGAAACATCTCTGTCATTATCGTCGAATCTTTAACTAATGACTAAAGATTACAACCAAAACTATAAATAAGTGCAGTATATCATTTCGGGAATTAGGTTGTGACGCATTAATTATAAGTCTGTAACAACCGATTGACAAAATTCATTTAGTTGACACAACACTATGTAATTGCTTTGGCGTAGACAAATAGCCAGAAGTTGTCCTATAAATGAGAAATGTCTTGCGTTCGCATTACAAAGCAGGAGCAATTACGCACACAAAAGAAAACAAGCAACCTTAAAGTGGGTTGACTACAAAAGTGGGAAGACATTTGGTCATCTAAAGGGAAATTAATTTTCAAATGAATGTCTTGAACACAAGCTTAAGGATTCCACTTTCTCAATAACGGCTTTAACAATGCTTTCTTTATCCCATACATCAAATAAGCTCAAGGCAACAAAACAATACTCTAAGACCAGTAGTTGTCAGTACAGTTTGCCCTTGAGAATTGCTATCATCAATCAAGATCTTTCTTATTTCCGAATTTACTCCTGAATTTCAAGGCTGGCTGACTAAAGAACACTGACAAGGAAGTTTTAGGGACATTACCTTCGTCTCGGTTCTCAAGGAGCATCCGGAGACGAGCGCTGTTGCTCATCGGTTGTCGTACTGGGAATAGTTCCTCGGACAAGGAATTTACTGACGTCTTTCCTCGTCGACCTCTACTCCCCACGAACCCAAAGTGCCTGGCACGTTTCTTTAGTTCATTATCATTCGTGCTCAAGGGTAACCGGTATCCTAGCACAGAGTCCATAAAGGCAACAGGATCCTCCTGAGGGTTATGGACTTGGGAAGGACTGGAGGTTACACTGCTGCCTTCTGTATAGTTCTTCGAATCTTCGTGCTGAAAATGTCATGAAGTATATGTCATGATAAGCTATTCGTGTCTGTTTTAAGTTGCATATGTGATGTGAACAATGGATTCATTTATGCAGCCAAAATATCACAATTTTAAAGACAAGCTAAATTTTTAATTATCTCTCGAAAACGTTTTGAATTTGTAGTTTGTTAGATGTTTAACGCCGTACTCAGCAATATTCCAGCTATATGGCGACGGTCTGTAAATAATCGAGTCTGGACCAGACAATCCAGTAATTAACACCGTGAGCATCGACCTATACATGGGATACGATGACATGTGTCTAACTAAGTAAGCGAGCCTGACCACTCGATCCCGTTAATCACCTCAGCATGGGTTGCTGAAGACCAATTCTGATCGTCAGGGTTGAATTGTAGGAATGAATTAATGATAACATTCAGATTAATTGTATCAGGATCTACACTTGTGGCATTAAGTTTATAAAATATATAACATCTTATTCACAAGTAGATTTCTACTACTCTTAGAGTCGTCGTATCACCAATTCTTGACGTCAACCATTGATGACGTAAATAAACGATTTTATTCGATCTTATATAATTAGTGTTAACCTCCCGTCGGCTTGTCAAGTACCAATAATGAGTCAGCCACTCTAATACACGAAATCATTGAAAATATCGACAGGTAAAACATACTCCCACCTTTCCCCAAAGACTGATAATAATGCTGAATTCCTCTGAAGCAATTAATGCCGAAATGCTCTCGCTTAAAGGCTACTTCGAAGCAATTGCAGATAAAACATTTAATACTTTCCTGATTTCCTTATTACTTGTTATTGATAGAGCAATGAACCGGTCATAGGCAACCACCTACGTATCTTTGGCTGAGTGTAATAAAGGTTAACGCGATAAATTGCTTTGAAAGCAATGGTAACGTGTGGTCCTTCATTACAGTGCCATTGTATTAAGGCTTTGAAAGACATGCTTGCAACGACAAACGTTTAATATATTGCCAACTGGGCGGCCTTAAGGTCACACTAACTTAATGCTTGCGTGTTGTTTGTCTGAATATTTTTTTCAACAAATAAGATCAATAATGTTTTGTAGCGTCATTTCTTTGAACGATCTGCAGATAACATGCTGTTTCATCTAACTTCGCGTATGCTTTTGTTCCCATGTATATAGCTCGCTATCGCTCGTCAATACCTATGACCAGCCCCTGATACAGGCAACTAAGACAGTCAGGACAATCAAAACCCGACTTTTAACTAACCAAAATGAGTCTTGTATTATAAAGAGCATTTGGGGCGTCCGATGTCTATCTTTGACACTGTGTTGGAAAACGAACAAATTTAATTTATGTTCCCCAGTGTTTAAAAAGCAGGAGAATATCTGCACTTGTATACCGAAGACGTGATTCAAATTAAACAAGACTTTTATCGTTAACTTTTCAGTTTCCACGAAATCAGTAAATCCGCACTCGTGTCACCGGGTTGACTGGTCCACTTTAACTGGATTGTCTGGTCGAATAATGTTACCATATTCGCACACATCTGGTGTTAATTTCAGTGATCCACTTATATAATTTACTTGTATACGTGCGCCCGGTATGAAATTTGTTTCAGTAAACAATCGAGACTGTTCAATTCTCTCTTTGATGTTTTCATATACATTATATTGTGTCTGTCAGCTTATTCTAGCCGATAAAACACCTTGCAATATTACTGACTGGGCTTAAACCATCATTTACTTACCTACTTATTAAGCGTAGTAGTGAAGATGACAGGCGCGCATACAACCGGTAAGCAAGGACATGATTATGACTCTACATCTGTTGTTTTCATTGACGATACCATTTTGAATTTCTGCTCATTTCTTTCATCAGTACATTTGAAAAGTACTTTAAAAAGTTAGAGTACGTGCTTTCGTCGTGTTTAGCAGTATTCCAAAAATACCACGATCGAGGATACCAGTTTACACATTGTATCAACGGGGGCAATCGAACCCAGAGAAGAATGAAGCGTTAACCAGTTATAAATATGTATCCTCGCATACTTATAAACCACCTGGCAAAAGAACGAACACAGGTGGAAATTGGATGGTAATAAACTTATTTGTGTGAAGTTTAAAAAAATTAGATCACTTATAAATAGTCTAAATCATTTTGGGGTGCAGATCAATCGATCGGCTTCGAAATCAGTTTTAAACTTTCAGATGAAGAAGAATCAAGCTGACCTTTGTTTTGTGTCAGTCTGCACTGGTAAGATTATTTTTATCACACCAGGTCATAACATTTCTAAAGTGGTGGTAAAAACCGAGACAAGACACAATTATTATTTGACGTCGGATTGACAAAAAAGGGCGGTTGTAAACACAGAAAATAAATAAGCATAACCTTTTACTGATATTCTTTTTACGATATTAACATATTGAATGACTTACAAATAAAATTTATATACATGTATTATATATATTTCCTGAAGGCTATGATATGCTCTCTATCTGACACTGAATATGACCACCACGTGTGTTCTTTACATTGCTGACACTGACTCAACTCAGTCGACAAAAACATTTCCATAATGATAAATATCTGTCCATTTACGAATTCGATTATGTTATTATTGCATGTCCAATTATCTTTATAACATCTCTATACATCTGCACGGAATGACGTGTAGCATATGACTTCACAATATGTTTTTATGAGACCATAGAACATCACATGTGTTTATTATGTATAAATGACAATATGATATTTATGTAATTATTTGTTTATAATGCGTGTATGCATGACAAGCGTATGGCAAAAGAGTTTATGTATTGCTAGATCACAAACAAACACTTATTTGTTTTAACGAATTGTGTGAATGGCGGATGAAATAGCCAGACGCGATTTTCCCTTGGTGTCGTTTCTTTATTTTGTAATCCATTCATCTCATTTGCAACATTGTTTTGGGCCTTTTAAGGAGACCAGTAAAGATACGGGTCAGAACCATGCTTGTCGTAAGAGGCAACAATCGGGATCGGATGGTCAGGCTCGCTGACTTGGTTGACACATCATATCCCAATTGCGTAGATTGATGCTCATGTTGTTGATCACTGGATTGTCTGGTCCAGATTATTATTTTCAGACCGCCACCATATAACTGGAATATTGCTAAGTGCGGCGTTAAACATCAAACCAAGCAATTTAAGCCCAGTGGGAACCGCTTCCATAGAAACGTTGAAGCAACTGACATTCAATACCGTTTCTCACAATTACAGGCATGGTCCTTGACATCTAATGAAACGTCATTTCATTCGGTACCAATTCTTTGAAAAATAATCTCACCTTGTCAGGTTCATCGTTTGTTTCTTTCCCAGCCCGTGTGCCCACAACCCCGAACACAAGCACAACACACAGAGTCCACACTTTCCACATGTCCACGTAGGGTTGGCCCTCGGCAACCTGAAGATAAATACAAATGAGTGAGTGAATAGTTTTTTCTAACGTTGATTTGAACAGTTGTTCAGTTATATCCTTCTTGTATTCTGAATGTGGAAAGTGCCTGAAGTGCGTCCTTAGACGTTACCACCTTGGTTCAACCCAGGAGCACGGGCATGTTACTAACAAACCTAGACACAAAATGAGGAAAATCTGGGAGATTCGAACCCAAAGGCATGGGCTCCTGCTACGCCAAAGGGACGCAACTGTGTATAGTGAATCCATGCGCCTCAGAAGAGGTAGCTGCAATCCCGCAGATAAACGTTAATTGTGCTACGTGAGACAGTATGGACATAAATTAGGGCAATCAGCAAGAACACAGAGCTAGCTACTTTCTACTGAAAGATGTCGTACCAGTGATAGATAGCGTAAGTGTGATTTTCAATTTTGAATTTGACGCTCAAAAATAATATGCAGGTCAACTACATTGGTATTAATTAACAGAAGTACATACACAATGGTGCAGTCTGCGATGCCCCTTCCAGCCAATCACATCCGTCTATATTTGTTTTCGTTCAGATAGATACCATCGACCAATATAGGATGTTGAAAGGTCTCTTAAAAGGTCAACTAGAATCAGCTCACATTGTGATGGCAAAAGTGCACTCAACTTGTCTATGTGTGGCCTTGGATGGTACAGGTACCTGAATGTGGAGAGTCCATAACGTCATATCAAGTTTAATTGTTAGTTAAATAGGTCAATAGGTCAATAACATAATCAGTCATTTTCCCCATTACACAACATGTGTACGGTCTGCTTTCGTTATGACAACGTCAATTTAAGTAGTATAAACAGTAATAAATCATTAAACGTAGGTTCAGTTAGAAACATACTTATGTGTCCTTGAATTGCTTGCACTAAGCGGTAGATGTTTGGGGGGAGTAGAACTTCCGGCGCGAAAACGTTTTGTCGCTTACAAGCATAGCACTATTGTCAGTCTTTGAATAGTGACAGTATAGTGTGTGTTTGAGCATTTTGGTCTTTTATCGACCTTCTACATTTTCTAATCTAAAAACTTTAGCTTGAAAAGTGTTTTACATCTTTTATTTTCATACACTATTTTCTGATGTGAATTTAAACGATATTCAAGGTTGACCAAACCGTCTATAGTTTGTTGTTTCGGGAATGAATTAACGATGCTTCGTACCTGAATTCAGTTTGCTGGTAATGTGTATCTGGTGTCAACGAGTCGGTGAATTATATAGATGCCTTTTTCAGCGTTATTTTTACTTCCATCGGAAGAAAAGTATTATTTCAAGCTGTATTTCCTAATCTCGGGCTGTGAACAGCTGTATGTGTTATAAGCTAAATAATGTTGCTGAAACTGAGGTCAGATTTGAATAATACACCATGTACACTGAAAATACCATATCAGTTTCAGCTGTCGGCTAAATTAGTCGAAGAGGTCATTGGTCACGTGACACAGATTAAAAGTGGACTTTTGCTTGATGAACTCTTCAATATTTTTTTATCTATTAAATATGAATCAAACTTGATGCTTAGTTATTTAAAGCTCAAGGTTTATTACATCCAAATCTGCCTGTATTAATTTTAATAAGTACTTGACAATAACAAAGGCAATCAATGACTATTTTTAAATATAATGTCAAGTAAGAAGCTATCAATCAAACATTTTGACATTTTGTAGAATAATAACATATATTAATCTTCTTCTTAAGACGTTAAATCGGTTAGTAGGAAGTAGGTTAGGTCAGTGGTACAATGCATAGGCTAAATATTAATCTTAGACTGGTATTTGGAGAATTTGAGAATAGCGGCTTCGGCCTCCAGGACAGGAGATGCGTATCATTTTCGCGAACACCTGATATCATTAGGTAACCCTTTAACACGTGAAGATCCGGGTTAGAATTGGTCTTCAGTAATCCAGTAATCGTAAGAAGCGACTAACGGGATCGGGTGGTCAGGCTCGCTGACTTGGTTGACACATGTCATCGCATCCCAGTTGCTTAGATCGATGCGCATGCTGTTGATCACTGGATTGTCTGGTCCAGACTAGATTATTTACAGACCACCGCCATATATCTCAGTGTGGCATAAACGTACAAACCAATCAAGTAGCCCGTTAATAAATGTTTACCATTTTTGCCTTGTGATGGAACAATCTGTTTCAGCGGATAATGGAGACTAATTATTTTTGGCGTTGACGTTTTATATATATTTGACAATTATCCATGTATTGTAACTGAATTCAATGAGTACATATTGTATATATAAACAGAGATAATTAACTCTACCTGTATCCCGAAGATCAAAGAATATATGGTAATGACTAATACTCTCCTATTGTCAATATATGAATAGAAATAGATATTGGTTTTGTTAACATTTCTATATAATTAATATCATGGTGGAACAAAAGCTATATTGGCCAGTTGGAATGTATTTGTAAGATTACCATGTGCGTGACTGAGTTATGGATTGTCCTTTAGAATTATAGATGAATTTAAATGTTTTGTTCGCTGTCTAACGGCGTACTCGACAATAATCCAGTCATGTAACTCGGATGATGTATATAATCGAGTCTGGACCAAATGGTTTAGTTATTGGCATTCTCACAAGTACAATATCTTTCTAACACCGCTCCCATGTGCCAGCTGATAGATACAACATGTTCATGTCTCAAAACATAATAATCTATCCCTGGTGCCCTCGAAATGAGTGCCTTCGATGATAATGCTGGTGAATGTTCGTGAATGCCAGTGAATTTCACTGTTGTTCCTACGTCACAAAACCTGGAGGAAATTCTACAAAGTGATCGTAGCTCCGATAGTAGTGCTTCTGTAGCTTTGAGTAACGGGTCCCTGGCCTTTCTTTGTCGTATTGTAACAAGGCAGCCCTTCTCTATGTTGCTTATGGAAGACCACTCCGTTAACTTGTAGTCACAATGTACGAGCTGCTAACAGAATTAAACATGTGGTCTGTCTTACCTAATGTAATTTTACAAAACGAGTAGACCCGTGAAATTCTCGCTTAGAATGTGTCTTCAGTAACCTATGCTTGTCGTAAGAGGCGATTAACTGGATCGATTGGTTAGGCCGACTGACTTGGTTAACACATGTTATCGTTTCCCAATTGCTCATACTGTTAACCACCTGATTGTGTGGTCCTGATTCGATTTTTTAGAGACCGCTGCCATATGGCTTGCGAGTGACTAAGACCCGAGTTCGATTCCCCACATGAGTACAATGTGTGAAGCCCATTTCTGGTGTCCCCTGCAGTCATATTGCTGGAATAAAACGTAAAACTAAGCTCACTCATTCACTGGAGAACACAATTGATCATTGTGTCTGTTGAGTGCCGTGCACTACTGGGAAGATCATGTTCTACTCGTAATACAAATGTAATGTTAAGGCGATAGAATCCCCGCCCCCAGGATGAACATAAGATTGCTGTACTGCTCAAAACACATCTGGGATGAGATGGGTGGATGCGTCCGACAGGACCAGAATCAGCTGGAAACACTTTCAAGTGGTCCGAAACGAACCTGATGTCCTTACCGATACACGCATCATCGGTAGTTATATAAGATATCATAACTGTACAAACCGTATAGGATAAAACTACTTTCAGGAAAATGACCTGAACATATTTGTAATGACCAGTAACCCATATGCACTCTGGCTGATAGGACTGGTATGAGGGGGAATAAAAGTATAGTTAATCTCCAATTAATTATGGCTATGGTTAGTTCCAATATTGCAACAGAAAATAAGTAGCCAATCAAACATTATTTCAACATGAAAATAGGATTACTGAAGACTCTAGATAAAGTATTCCAGCCATTTATAAACGCGGTTAAGCTATAAGCTACTTTTTATCACAGACAGTTCATTGTAACGGCTATGATTATTTTACTCATGATTCGCCACACAATATTTTAACGGACGTATTTTCACCTTCAGTCACGTCGAGACGCGAGACTTCATCGCCCCTTCCTAGGGTACTTCATATCATCGTTAACTGCGAGGGTGGCCAAAAGGTTCTGAGCCTCTATGTGAAGGAGGAACATGGCACACTCTTGACTGTTTACATGTGTTGCATATAGTTATACTGTAAATATGTAAATAAAAATATACCTGTGCCACACTATAAATTTCACCACAAAGTGTCTGACTACAGGATTATCAGTTGGACTAGTCCATTATCGTAATGGGTAACAGCCTTTGTTTTTGTGTTCACTCAACCATATAAAATTGTGTATTGGACTGTCTGACAACTGGGGTGTCTGACAGCCGTGGGGACACCATACTCTTCATGCTTATTGCTGAATTCCAGCCAAATATTCTCCCTCAGCCAGGCAGCATATGTTTGTGGGCATTACAGTAACCAGGTATCTGGTGATGTATATTTCGTGAATTTAAGATCAAAATGAAAATTTATGACAGGACCAGTGCAAACACCAACCACAACCAATTAAACCAGACAGTTAAAGTCAATCGCTACAATGGTGACGTGATACTTGGTCATGAATACAGAGGACAATACACTCCACTGCAATTTCTTGCTTATTGAAATCACACCTAAAGGTGATATAATAGGCCTACGCCTAACTCATGTTACCTTATGACGGTATAAATAGTATATGTAACAGTGCGTGAGTGAGTTTAGTTTTACACCGCACTCAGCGATATTCCAGCTATATGGCGGTGGTCTGTAAATAATCGAGTCTGGTCCAGACAATACAGTGATCAACAACATGAGCATCGATCTACGCAATTGGAATGCGATGACATGTGTCAACCCAGTCAGCGATCCTGACCACCTGATCCCGTTAGTCGCCTCTTACGACAAGCATGGGTTACTGAAGATCAATTCTAACCCGGATCTTCACGGGTCGATAGTAATAAATGTCATTGTAGCAAATAGGTTCATTTTGGACCTGCATTTTTCAATTAAACGTTTTGGAGACATTTTTCATCTTACCCTTAATAAGTTGAACATA